AAAGAAACAAAGAACAAGAGAAAGAGAAAAATAAGAAAGAAAGAAATCAGAAAAGAAAGAAAAAAGAAAGAAAGAGAGAAATAAGAAAGAAAGAATCAGAAAGGAATGGAAAAACAAATAAAAAGAAAGAAAGAAAAACCTCAAAAGAAACAAAAAAATCAGAAAGGAAAAAGAAATCAAAAAGAAATCACAAGAAACAAAGGGAAAAAGAAATCAAGACATAAAAAGAAACAAACAAATAAGAAAGAAAAAAGGGATGAAAGGAAAGAAGTAAAGAATGACGGAAGAGAGAAAGAAAATAAACAGAAAACAAAAAGAATGAGAACTGTGTTTTTTGATATTTTAAAAATAACAAATTATTCAGAAACAGTAAAAGAAAAATTTCTTCTTAAAATACTTAAGGGAAAAAATATATATTCCTTATTTATCCTTACAGAATATCTAAGAAAGAGAATACAATAATACAATGATGAAATCTTTGAACTAAATTTACACAACAAAACAAACAATGAGCCCTGCCGTTTGTAAAGGGGAAAAAAACACAGATAATTTGACAGAGAAGGATATGAAAATTAATGTCTTACTGAGAATTATCAATTGAATAAAAGACCTTGAAACTATTTTAACCCCTATTTTTGAGTCATGTATAAAAATTATATCATAATTCTTTAAATATGCAATACTATTATAAATATTAATATATTATTATTATATTATATAAATTAATACATTTAACGCATTTGACAATAGCCTAGTGGATTAAAATGTTGGTTCATTAATTTGGTTACATGTGAGTTCCATCCCTGGGTTGGGCAGTGTGTACTTGAATTCAGTGGAAATGGATGAGCAATAATTGAACAGCCCTAAATAAAAATAAGAGCTAGACAATATTGTGCATATAATATAGTTGAACGAGAACAGTGTAACCCCATAGATTAAATAAAGGGTTCAGTTCAGAATTCTCCATAGGTTTCCCAGATCAATATACACCTAAGGAAGGCTGGAACCTTGTGATAACAACAATAAAGATGATGACAACTGTCCAAATATAAATAGTGTAAATAATAACTCCTCATCCCAGAAACTCAGACAGCAATAATGCATTTGATTTTTTTTTTAAGCAATTTCCCCCAAGCAAGGCAGGAGTGCCACTAGTACGCAAGGGGCTACAGAAGATGAAAGTAAGGGAAAAGACTGGGTATAGTGGGGAGTTGAGGAAAGGATAAAAAGAAGAATGGAAGAGGATAAAAAGAAGAACAGGGATTAAGGATTAAGGTAACAGATGTTGACTGACATTGCATTTAAATTTTTGAAGATTATAGTTATCAAAGAAGCAAGTAAGAGGAAGGGTGTTCCACTGTCGGGAAGTGCGAGAGAAGAAAATGTTGGCATAGAAGAGGCGGTTACATTTAATTGTTTTGACAGTAAAAGGGTGGGACCAAAATGCCAACCTAGTAGCACATTTAAGTTCATCCAGTCTGGGCACCAGCAAAAATTGCTCATCAGAGCAGATGCCATAAAAATATTTATAGAAAAGACAGAGGGAAGCCACATTACGTCAGTGAGAAAGTGACTGCAATCAAGGCCCTAAGTTAGGACTGATCACATTGCATATCCATCTTTGGATTTATTTTAATTAATATAAATTAATTAAGAAAATTCAATGTGATCAGTAAATAAATACAAATACTACAGGCATGACATTTTGGCCATTGTATGCTTCGATATTTTTCATGTGATATTTGCTGGAATTTTAAACTGAATTCTTTATTCAGTCCATGACATAGGAGTGCACAATGTCTGAAACATTGTGAATATGACAGTGAAGATGAGAACAACAATCCAAACAATGTAAATAGTGTAAATAGTTACAATACCTCATCTCATAAATATAGACAGATCCTGAAGAAGGCCAGAGAGTACAAATACTGAAACATCGTGAATATAACAGTAAAGATGAGAACAACAGTCTGAACAATGTAAATAGTGTAAATAGTTACAATACATCAGCTCAGAAATATAGACAAATATTACAGCATGTGTATAGTATTTGAGAACATGTGATTGTGCACCTGCAGTTATTTAATAATGAATTTATGAGCTTTTAACTTTTCTGAGCATCAATGGCAAACTGTCAGCTTCTTTTAATATTTTCCATGTTATGCACATCAAGTTTCCCTGCTTCTGTGATGGTTGTAGGGGTGGTGAGTAGTGAAGTACATATCATGCCACCCAACTTTTTTCAACAGGGTCTTCTGTTGAATACTGCTGGCTACAACAAGGTCTTCAACTGAATATTGCAGTTGCAGGTGCTGGAAACAATTGTGAAAATCCTGAATAGATGTTGTATGTGCTGTGTTTCAGCAGGACTCTGCACCTGCTCACAAAGTTGTGATGTATTGATTGATTGATTCATTCATTTTTTACAGCTTATCAACCTCTTGCAGGTTATTTAAAGACAGAAAATATTTTTAGTTTGTAAGAATATTTTGGGGGAAGATAATAATAGTTTAGTGATACAAGTTTTACTGATTAACACATAGCTTGGAGGAAGAACAGGTTGATTCATACTTTTCTCAAGGGTATTTGTGTATAAGTGAATATAACAAACCCAACTAGAATTGGAACTTGGCTCTCCAATTAACAATTCTAAGCCATTATCCTTTACACCACCTTCACATCCAAGCTTACAGCATCTAGTATTCAAAAGTGGTCACCCATTTAGGTACTGACCAGGCTTGATGTTGCTTAATTTTGGTGAAAGTACAGGAACTGGTGTTTTAACATGATGTGGCTGTGAGCCTCATAAGATTGGATGGTGACCAATCTGCATGACCACATCATGCCAAACATGTGGCCACCTAACTCACTACACCTAAATTCATTTGACTATTACATGTGGAATGTTGTTGAATGAGAGATTAATCAATGTTCCCACAATATGACTGATTTCCTGAAAGCCATTTTTACCTGTGTAATGTTCAATATCAATTCAGACAATGTGATACATGAATGTCGATGGTTTCAGTCCTGCATTGAAACCATCAATGAAGCTAAAGATGGTTACATCAAATAAACATATAATCCAACCATTACTGCATCTGTTCAACAAGTTTTGTATCAATAAATTTAGTTGTTTGTTAGATGTAGTTTTTTTTAATATGTTCTTAAATGTACCATCAAATACCTTACACACCCTGCATATTCAGTTCATTGAAAATACATGTTTTATAGTGTTATATACCATACCTATGAACACTAATGGGTATGTCCCAATCCTCATAAATATGTTGGACGCTATCGTATTTGAGGGTAATATGCTGTCTAAGTAGTGCACCACTAGAAGTGGTTTACCTACTTCATGCTGCTGGCGAGTATTGTATTTTGTTGATGTTATAAAGATTACCATTTCATTTCCAACCTCCATTTTGGTTATTCCTCATTCAGTGACCTTTTCTAGGTTACAACACGACCCAACATGCAAATTACAAATTGTAAACATCAAAATCAAGTAAGTACAAACATTTCAATATCTGGGTAGTGTTTTAACAGAGGACGGAAAGTGCGACACTGGAATCTGGAGGCGCATTGAAATGTCATTCTACAGAAGGATGCTGAGAATACCATAGACTGAACATGTGAGCAATGACAAAGTTTTAGAGAAAATGAAAGCGAAAAGGAAACTGATACTTAACATCAGGAAGAAGCAGTTGAAATTCTAGGATGCGTAATGAGGAAATAGATCTTGGAAAATGTAAATATCTGGGAAGTGTTTTAATACTTTCATGGTAATTGTTTGGATGAGCTCTTTCAATATGGTAACTAAACATTATGATTTTAAGTGCAGTACTACATTATCAACAAGGTCACATCAATTTACAGTTATAACAACGTTTCGACCTTTTTTTCATCTAGCCTTCATCAGAACCTATACTGGGAGCAAACTGCATGCATATGGATAGAAAAAAAAATTCAGTAAATAGAAAGGGCTATAAGACAAGGATGTCTTCTTACTGGACTTATTTAACCTATATATATATATATATATAGTGAGATGATTCTGATAGAATTATAAGTCCTACCAGGATTTATTGGCAGCCACAATCTTAATAACATAAAATATGCAGATGACATAATGTTGATAGTAGAAAGAAAAGAAACTATAAGAAATCCTACAGAAGTTAGTGAAGGAAAGTGAGAAGAAAGGACTAAACATCATTTGTAAAAAAAGAGAATATATAGTTGTAAGCAAAAGGCTAACATGCAAATTACAAAATGAAGATACCAAAATCAAACAACTACAACAATTTTAATATCTGGGATGTATTTTAACAAAGGACAGAAAGTGTGAAACTAAAATCTGAAGGCATATTGGGATAGCGTTGACTTCCAAAAGCTAAGCAAAGTATTAAGAAACAGGAAAATTTCATTAGAAACAAAGAAAAGAGTACTGAACTGTTATGTAATGTCAGTCTGTTATATGACAGTGAATACTGGACAATCTCCTCACAAATAAAGAAGAAACTTGAAGTAACAAAAATACAGAAAGATACTAAAAATACCATGGACCGAACATGTGAGCAATGATGAAATTTTAGAGAAAATGTAAACAAAAAGGATGCCTATAATTAAAATCAGAAATAGATAACTGAAATTTCTGAGGCATGCAATGAGGAAAGAGAGCTTGGAAAATGTGATACTCAGAAACATATTGAAGGCAAAAGGGACAGAGGAAAACACCCCATAACCTCCCCAATGTAATGGATATGGTGAGACATTACCAAAAGGTAAATTTGTCCTCTACCTTAATATAATAGTGTATCTGTAAATCCTGAGTAAAAAAACTCAGCAGGCCTAGACTTTTGTGCCCACAAAATACTGAAATGTCAAAAGGATGATTTTTCTATTGATAACATTATTATTTTAACTACCTTCACTCCTGAGCAATGTTTGTTGTTTTTAAAAGTGATGATTAGAATTTTAATAAAACTTAAACATAGCTGTACACAAATATCTATCTATATTCTTATATCACTCAGTTTATTCACATCTATCTATCTATCTATCTATCTATCTATCTATCTATCTATCTATCTATGTTCTTATTTCACTCAGTTTATTCACATCTGTCCTGTCTATCTATGTTCTTATTTCACTCAGTTTATTCATATCTCTCTATCTGTGCTTATTTCACTCAGTTTATTCACATCTATCTATCTATCTATCTATCTATCTATCTATCTATCTATCTATCTATCTATGTTCTTATTTCACTCAGTTTTTATTCACATTTATCTATCTATCAAGATTCATTATAATGTGCATATTCATCTGTTCTCACTGTGATCCACCTTTCTATTACTTTCATTTTTCAATGATTATTTTTATTTCTTTTACGGTGGTGTTCACCCTGTACACTTATGGTAAAGAGAGTTACAGAATAAGAAGCACAGCTTATTCAGATATCTGAGGAAGATAACGATTAACCTTAGATTTGAACAGGTTAAGAATGTACTGATTGGGAAAGCAACTTCATAGGAGTCAGTTCTACAAGGCAGCAATTCATGGGTAGAAGCTGCTTGAGTAGAACTTATATCTCACCAACGAGATATGAAAGAAATGAGGATGGTTCACTATAATGTGGCTGGCATGGCAGGTCTTAGCCATGAAGTAGTTCATTTGAACACTCACCATAGAAATAGCAATACACCAAAGAGCGGCTTGTGAAAGGGTTGCAGAGTGGAAAATAATTTGTCAACTACATGGACATGGAGACACTTTTTGACTCTAGTGAGAGTGAAAAGTAAAGACCGGTCGGTTCCTGTCCATATATGACAGTAGTATTCCATTTTTGGTCTGATCTTGTTTTAGTAAAGGTAGAGGTAAGTCAGAAGGAGTGATGTACTTGCTGGAATGGTACAGGGAACTGACCATCTTGCCAGCATATTTAGTGATGGATTTTATGTATGAGTTCTAAGTCTGGGTTGAGTTTAAGTCCCAATAAGTATTCAAAGCATGGAGGCCCTCCCTGAGGCAACATCCATGATTGGTAAAATTTCTGGGTCCAATAGGTGATGTATTATATCTCCAGTTATGGGTGTGTGGCCAAGTGGTTAGAACATTCACTTTCTGACTATGAAACCCTGGTTCAAATCTAACAACAGTTGATTTGTCAGGAAGTAGACTTCCTGATGTTATCGAGGGGTGATCCCAGTGTGCGTCACCTTTGGAAAGTGCCTGAAAACCATACCACGGGTTGACCCAAGCCTTGAGTGAAATTGGGTAGGTAGAACCCTTGGGGCCATCAATAGTTGTTCTAGCACGAAGTTACAAGTCATCTTGACCGAGGGTTTGAATGTGCTGGCCTTCTTCAGATTGTTGATCATGCTAGATAACATGCTCTCTCCCAGAAACTATAAGTAAAGTCTGCTCAGCATAGTTGCAGTATAAACCACAGGTTGGCTCTGTGGATGTTGAACAAACACAGATGTGCCTGAGCGAGCATCTGAAATAGGGATTGGCTAGCTGCCCTAATAGATAGGTATCCTTGAATACAAGTGGCCAACTATTATTATTATATCTCCAGTTAGAGATGATCCATTAATAATATTTGAAAGAGGATCAGTTTTTAAATTCCATAATATATTCATCTGTTCTCACTGTGATTCACCTTTCTATTACTTTCATTTTCAATGATCATATCTTCAGTTAGCGATGATCCATTAATAATATTTGGATTGTGTACTCATATTTAAAGGAGGATCAGTTTTTATTTCATCATGAACAGTTCGAATATTATCACATGATCTCCTTTTAGCTTTTCTTTCTTTCTTTTTATCATCAGTTACAAATCAAGAAAATAATTTCTTGCCAACTAACACCACAATTATAAAATCCTTTAAAAAAGGTTGAAGATTGCAAGAAAGCGATCGTGAGAAGAATTGTTTCCCCCCCCCCAATGGGACCTACCAATATCTTTGTGAATCCCAAAAACCATAGTTGGTGCCAAGTGGCTAACATTGGTTGATGTTTTTTTAATCCCAGGTGCTGCATAAATATTATGGTTTGTAAAAGAGAGTTAAGAATGTATTTACAGCTTTTGAGGCTGAAAGATGGGGTCTAGGATAATAAAATAAGCTGTTTTTTTTTCAGTTGGGCTGTAGAAAAAAAATTGAATAGTTTTGAAGGTCAATAGGACTGATTAACAGAATGAGGTCCAGATGTTGTGAGGGCATATGGAATTTTTATTCTATCCTTCATATTTACAAACGTATATTTTTATTAGTCTTATATGTCATTTTTAGTGGATATCCATACATGAGTAAATACTTTTTAAAGGAATAAGAATATGTCAGATCAATAAATAAAAATCAATTAAATCTTTAGAAATTACAAATGTATATAAACCATTGCAAATATTAAATTCACCTACAAAGGTACATACAGATATAGTTGTAAGGTGAAATTTTATGTAAACAAACAAATCTAAATAAACAAGCAAATATTAATGAAAAATAATATAGTTCTAGTTAAAAGGGAAAGTAATTTATTAAATTGATCAATTCATTTTCTACAACTTATCAACCCTTTGCAGGTCATTTTAAAGCCAGAAAATATTTGGAGATTGTAAGACTTTTTTGGGGGTCGGGGAGATAATAATGAAAAGGCTACAAGTCTTATTAATTAACCCATAGCTGGGGGAGAAGAGGTGGATTCATACCTTTCCCAAGGGTATTTGCATGTAAGTGAATATATTGAACCCAAATGGAATTGGAACATTGCTTCTCATTCTCTTTCACTCTCAGTAACCCCTTTTATCTTAGTGACATTATTGTCTTTGCTGGGGTGAAATGATTAAAAAAAAAAAAAAATTCAGCAGAATTCAAACTTGCTGATTTCTATTTCTGATTCACTAACCCTAACCCATACATCCATGGATCAGGGATACTTCTCTAGAAATTCAGTCTCCTTGAAAATTTTAATGATAGCCCCTGAATGAATGACGGATAAGGAAAAGTATTTATACACCTATTCGTTCCCATATTAATTTTTGTTTGACTTATTCACGAATGAATGATTTTCTTTTTTTTGACGTGTCTCTTTTTTCAAAAATGGAAACCATTCATCCTTACAGAATTTTAGGAGAAAAAATAAAACTATCTGAAAATTTTAAATCTGCTTTTAAAACACTTTAGTGCTGACAGCAGACATGGAAAAAAAAATCTCCGAAAGAAGGTAGCGAAGGAAAGCAATAAGAAAGGATGAAACATTAACTGTAAGAAGACAGAATGCATGGTTGTTAGCAAAAGGATGAGCCCAACATGCAAAATATTAATCAGAGATACCAAAGTCAAACAAGTAGAAAAATTTAGGTACCTGGGAAGCATTTTAACAAGAGAAAAGTGCAAGACTGAATTCAAGGGCACATTGGGATAGTCAAAGATACATTCCAAAAGGTAAGCAGAGTACTAATAAACAGAAAATCTGTTAAAAACAAAGAAAAGAGTACTTAACTGTTACATGATATCTATCCTCCATATTGTGAATGCTGGACAATCTCCTAAAAAATGAAAAGACTTGAAGCAACAGAAATGTATTTCTACTTAAAGATACTGTAGATACCATGTACTGAATATATGTAAGCAACAACAAAGTTTTAGAGAAAATAGAAACAAAATGGAAAGTTATACTTAACATCAGGAAGAGGCAGTTGAAATTTCTAATTTCTAGGGCATGTAATGAGGAGAGAGGGTTTGGAAAATCTGATAATCACAGGGCAGATTGAAGGCAAGAGGGACAGAGGAAAGTAGTACATAATAGCAGAAAAAGGTTTAGGAGAAATAACAAAAAGACATCTGTCTATATCTCTGAGATGAAGTATTATGATTATTTACATTATTTACATTATTCGGACTGTTTTCCTCATTTTCATTGCCTCAAGGACATATGGCCAAGTGGATAAAGGTGTTGGTTATATCCAATGACTAGACCCCAAAAGTTGTGAGCTCAATACCAATCTACAGCAGTAGTGAACCAAAAAACTTGGAGAGCTGAGTTAAAGGGAAATAACTGAGACATCTGGAAGAGGCATGACATGTGGAAGTAGTATAATCTACCTCAGTGAGCAAAATAAAGGGTTTGGTTTGAAATTTCAATCACCAGAAGAAGGCCGGCGCATACAACAGCTGAAACATTGTGAATATGGCAATGAAGATGAGGATAACAGTCTGAATAATGCAAATAATGTAAATAACAAAAAGACAAAATTTATTAAGAACTACAAAAGACAGGAAATTGTTGAGAACCATGTTCGTCTATGTCCTGAGGGGACACGACACATAGAAGAAGTAAAATTGGACCTTCTGGACTGCTTGTGGTTATCTAAGATTATTTTAGGCATTAGACTGGATGAAATACTTTCTTTAACACCAATATTCTACTGCTGTCATTTCTCCAAGATTCTTTGCCTTGACTTCTACAATAACTTAAATACAGTAAATTTCATCACAATCAGAATGGATTTACAGTCTTAGCTTGACATTATATTGTTGCATATATTATTCTGACATATTTTTATATAGGAATAAAGTGTCACTGCTGACACTTGAGCTTGAACATAGATAGCCAGTGAGCAAACACAGGTGATCCCATTATTAAATTAAGTAGACCACGTGACCATAGAGGAAATGAATATATGTAGGAAGTGGCATGACATCTAATTGATCTGCAATTCTAGTCTATCCTCTATACTATATTCTATACACTATACTCTAGCTCTATTATCAAGCAAGTACTATTAGTGTGAGTGCTATTCAAAGGTGTCTGACACCAGAATTGTTCAACAGCACACTATAGTTGTATCTGCTATTGCAAGTCTCTAATACAACGAGCATTACAAAAGTAACAATGAGTATTTGTTAGCATCACAAAAGTTGCAACGAGTGTTTGTTGACATCACAAAACATATAGATATTCATATGTCTATGTCAGTCAGTTGTACTATGCATGATTATAATGCTTAGGCAATCATGTATCTTTTGATACATGACTGACAAGGCAGATTTTTTTCCCACATCATGTTGCCATTTCTTTCAGTTGCTATCCAAGGCTATAGAACCCAGTCTGTCCTGCCATTTACCTATAGCTGGGGGGAGGAGAAGAGGATTCATACCTTTTGCAAGAGTATTAGCATGAAAGTAAATGTAATAGATTCGACTAGAATATGAACTCGGCTCTCCGATTCCTCAATCCAAGCCACTATCCATTACTCCATCGTGTCTATGTAGTAAATTTAAATGCAAAACCATTGGTGGAATGTTTAGCCAGTGTTTTTGAACACCATAAGT